GATAGTTTTCTTTTGTTAACCACTAATTCATTATTCGATTTGCTTCAAACCCTACATGTCCTCTGACCAAGGATCTGTGATCTGCTGTTCACTTAGAGTTTGTATACTCTTGGAAGTCAAGCTTCCTCTGTGCAAGGTGCCGTGTGACCCGTCACAAAGATGATATATGATTCGATTAATTAATCGGCAAAATTGGATGATGAAATGGTGGTGTTCGAGGCACTTGCTGGGGGTCCAAACGCCATATCAACTTACATGCAACAAGAAGCTACATTGTCAGATCATAGTAGCCAGAACATGATCACGGTATGAGATAAAATTGATGGTATCAGATTAGGATACAGAGCTCATCATTATCTTGTATTATCCGACGTATTCATCTCCAAGCCGTACGATTATGATTTGTATTTGATCCGAGATATTATTGAAAAAGAGTATCATGTGCTTCATACAATCTATGTCGTCCTCATCATGAGGTGCGATTCCAAGTTGTGTGTAAAGTGGATTTGCTTGATAATACAGCAATCAGTGATACAAGAAATAATCTTGGCGGTATCTCAATTTGTGTTCCAATTCCACTTGTTACTTGATGTATTCGTGTCCGTTGCTTCCATTCGAAGCTTCTAATTGTAGTAATTGTAGTGTATGTTGCATATATTGTAATGCATACGACCGAAATATATGAGGGGATTGGAATGTCCAGCGCAAGTGGCGTAGTACTTGAGCTAAAAAGAATATATCAATCAGAGAGAGAGTCACGTCATCCGCGATGTTTTGCACACCATTTTCGATCTGAACATTTCACCAAGCTAAGTAAGAATCTAAATGTATATATTCGAACTGATTATTGTAAACAAAACTCAAATCATCGCAGTCGGCGCCAAATAAACTCAACTATAGCCACAAGTATCTATCCATTCATGCAGCATATATCCGGCTCAACATAAATAATAATCAGCACGACAACGCTTGAGACATTGCATTGCAAATACTAATGATGCTTGTCATTCGTACATATTGCCGTAATCCTCATTTATCACCGATCTCTTTCATTTGTGCAGTATAAGGTGCGCCAATACCACTTTGATCGAACCATTAGTATTGGATCTGAATAACGTCAATGTTTGGCGTAAGCGCATTCTTAATAACTGTTTGATTGAATTTGACACTGCTTGAAAAAGGTAATTAAATTAAATTAAACAAATTTTGTGAAGCTAAAATCATAATTATTTTTGAGAAAATCATCCTGACAAATAATGTAGACCACATCGTGCACTATTGAATCCTTCCATAAAGTGCGATCAGTTCACAGTATAAAAATATACCGATTCAAACTCTAATGTCTAGAGTACTTATCTATGTAAGGAATTTGGTGGGTACGCGGCTTATAAACATTCATGATATATAAAGATGGTGACTTTCTAAGATATTTAGCAGTAAGACACCGTCTTACCGCTAGTGTCTAACTAGCCATAATTTGCCATACATTTGCTTGCTATTGCAACTGCAACGATTATTTGATGTGCTCCATTGCAATCCAATCCGGAAAATACTAATCAGGAACATGTGTTCTTCCGTTGCTACGTTGCGAAGACAGCATTGCAACCCACGAAATATCGGGTACTTTATAATCGCTGCCGCAAATGAAAGCTGCAAAGTCGTTACACACTCCATACACAAGTACCTTACAACCTTGATTGCCTCTATTCGTAAGCGAATCCTGAAGAATCTTGAGTATTCGCAGCAGAGATGATCGGCGCTCTTCTGTGGCAGGTGGTCTATTGACGGTGAACAACTTTGTCTTAGGAAAATGGTTCTTTACAACCGAATGAAGCCACTTGCACTCGGCAGTACATTTGTGGCCTAGTTGTAGCCTTTGCAGAAGCTGCTTGCGAAAACGACGAAATGCGTCAAAGGAGTGACTAACAGTCCACACTATCTGTTTGTCTTGCCAGCGAGGAGAAATATACGTTGCATGAATTTCGTAGTGCCCATTAACTGCAGTCTGTAAGCGAATTTGAAGGTTTTTCAGCCACGCAGTAGCGTCAGGAAGATCGATTGATATTGCTCGCATGCGATGGTGCCTAGAAGATTTAAGTATTGGTGTTGAAGCGACTTTCATGGCTGTTACTGGCCGACGTCCGACCTGAAATCTGCAAAATCGAAAATAAGAGTCGGTCAAAGTGGTCGGATCATTCATTTCTAGAAAAGATATTACCAAGAATCAGGGCTGAGTACCTTTTTGTGGTAACATCCATATAAATAAATCATCATTGACCCAATATCTTGTATTCTCGTCGTCATCAAGCAAATGATGAGCAATCAGATTGTCAGTAGGTGCTGCAGCGTGACAATCAATAGGGGATACAAACGTATGTACGTGAATAACGTAGGACGTATATTAGGTTTGCTTTCTGAATACGGTAGAGAAAATAGATTGAGGGACACATATCACCGTTGTAATGACACCTTTTCGAAGCTTTTCTAATTTCGAAAGATCGCGTGAATACCGGCCGACCTTCCGGTAGCCAGCAGTCACCCATAGATGTCGAAATCGAATTTATAGTCAGCAACAAAACAGATATAATCACGTTTATTTAGTGTTTCTTTAGTAAAAAGACCAACACTAAATTGCCCAAGTGATATGTTCATGCAGGGGCGTCAAAGAGAATCTGACGCAGGTGGTATATCTTCATACAATTTAGAATGAATTTTTATAATAATTTTGACAGAGAATTGTCAGTACAATTGTGAGCGTCTGTGCCGACACACACGTAAATAGTTCGTACGCTCACGAATGTACTTACGGTTTTCTATCATAAAATGGGATGTGGGTATATTCGGCATCATCTGATAGATAATTGTTCGATAATGTGGCACGGACTTAAGTATCAGAAACTGATAGCCATCAAGGCATCAAAGCACAAAAGAAACTTGGTACAAGTGGAAACTAACTGCACATTCGGAATCGTTCGCTATAAACAGGTGGTCATTCTCTCAAAGTATTTATTCTTGAATACTTTGAGAGAATGACCACCTGCGGCTTCGCGTCAAAATGTGAGTAATTTCTAAAATAGTCCGAAAGGAATCGTGCCCGAGTCGGATATCCAGTCGGTCGGCCAGCATCCTGCCGAGCATTAACAAACTTATCCTCTTCTTAGTCTTAACCTAGTAGAAATGTGACATAAAGCTTGATGCCTCGATATATGTGCGCATAATACGTAACTAATTTGATCTTTAAACAAACTAGAAAGTGACCATTGATCATCTCCATGTTGGTCAGAACTCGATAAATGCTCTGACGACATGAAACTAGAGCCTTTTGATTTTTAATCACACCATTAAACAACTGATGTCATCTGGAGGGCGGGTATATTGTCTACATTAGCGGTTTATGAAACAGTTGACATCAAATTTTGTCATCACCGTTTGTAATTACACTAAAAAACAAAACCTTGTAAAAGTATCGATTGTTTTGCAAATGCTAGATGGCTTCGATAACTTTCATTCGACTTACATGCGGTGAGAATGGTAGATGGTAGTTTATTGGAAGATGGTAGTTTGATTTTTACCAAACGACGTACCGCTGATGAGAGTGTATAGCTGTGCGCTGCTACATTCTTTAAGCACTAAGCGGTCAGATGGAACGTTTAGCGGATACCCAAACTTGGTAATTTATTCTTCTGGCCAACATTGGGCTACTATTGCAACTGCCACAAATTAACGATTATTAGACTTGAATGTGCTTATACAACCATCGTTGCAGTCTAATCTGGAAAACATTAATTCCTTGTTGCGAAGAGAGGGTTGAACGGGTTGATTCTTGGACTCGGACCAGGCTTAACATAATATCCAGCGATTTGCAATTGCTGCCGTAAATGAAAGCTGCAAAGTCGTTACACAAGCACCTTACAGCCTCTAATCGTAAGCGAATCCTGAAGAGTCTTGAGTATCATCGGCGCTCTTATGTGGCAGGCGCTCTATTGGCAGTGAACAACTTTGACTTGGAATAATGTTTTTTCTTACATCTGAATGAAGCCACTTGCACTCGGTAGTTTAGTTGTGGCCTGGCTGTAGCCTTTGCAGTTGCTGCTTGCAAAAACGGCGATATGCGTCAAAGGAGTGACTACAATCTGTTTGTCTTGCCAGCGAGGAGAAATATACGTTGCATGAATTTAGTAGTGCACTTTAGTACAAATCTGCAAAATCGCAAAATAGAAAAAAGATTCGATCAAGGTGGTCGAAGTATTCAACTCTAGAAAAGATATTTTCAAGAATCAACAGGTGGGCATTTGGGCTGAGTATCTTTTTGCGGCAGCTTACAGAAAAATCATCATTGACCCTATACCTTGGTCGAGCGGATGACGTGCAATAATTCGTCGGTCGGTGCTGCATCGATGCAGTCAAAGAAAATTCAAACAAATGCAGCATAGGCATAAATACGAATAATTTTGGTATAGTACAAAGTAAGATGCACATTCAGTTCGCTTTTCCTTCTCGGCAGCGTATTTGCAATCACCACCTTTTCGCAGCATTTCTACTTTTGAGAGATCCTGCCAACCGACCTTGGCTACTAACAGCAGCGTCATTATGTCGAATTTTCTTAGGTCTGTAGCAGAACAAATAATTGTGTTCATTTTCTCGCCTTGGGATCGTATAGATCATAATTCAATGAAGTGCAGCGACCTTTACTAGAATAATCAAGTATATTTTCGTGTTTATTAAAGCGATCAATATTGAGTTGTCAAAATGATAAAAGCGTTGAACGGAGTTTGATGGAGGTACTGATGTTCATATGACTTTCATGGTTAACGAACACGAATAAGTGTGGTTGTTTTAGCTCTAGGAAATCTCAAATTCACGATAGAATACCATAGTGGTGTTCGCGCTCATACGTATGTAGTCTTTAGTCCAAACGTATGAAGTGCAGACGCTCAAGTACTTAGTTACGGTTTTTTATCGTGAAATGGGAAGTGGATACATTCGACATCATCTGATGGATAATTGTTCGAAAATTTGGCGCGTTTTTTATCAAAATCGCGATAGCATCCAAGGTATCAAATCACACCGGACTCTTGTATAAAAGCGGGGATTGCATTTCCAAACTTGTGCGCTGGTTAAGCAGCTTAATGTCACTCATGAAGGTACTTTACTGCAGATCTTGATGTCGAGTGGTTATTTTTCTAACCGCTCGCTCAAATTTTATCTTTATAATTTGTAAGAAAACGCAAAAGAAGGAGGTTCAGCCGGATAGCAGTCGATAATTATGCGGATAGAACTTGTTTAATCCTTGTAGTACACAAACAAGAAATGCTATTGGCATCACCACAGCATTTAAATTCTCTTGAAATCAAAACCTTAAGAATTTTACATCTGCACTTGGAAATTCTTTATTTGTCCTTTCGCGTTACTGAACCTGTTGACTCCATTTGGTTTAACAGTCCTTACCAAAGATTTAGAAACTGACCAGACTGGGCATTTGCGATCTCTTGGGCTCGCAATCACAGTAACTATTCCTTTAACAGCATGAACGTCAGTGTCAGTTGCGAAATCGAGCTGGAAGACGAGAGCAGAAACGTCGAAGGTATCACAAAATAACTGCTCGTGAAGAAGCTTTACGATTTAATGTGACAATAGAACTTAAAAACTTAATCTGAAGTTAATACCACTGACGGAGGTTAAGAAAGACGAAGATAGATAGTGTTTTGGCATTATCAAATAACGCAACATTCTTTAGCTATATAAACACGTAAACTCATTAAGAAAAACTTAAGCGGATACCCGAACGCAGCGATTTGTTCGAACTGGACGAGCTTTGCCTTGCACTTGGCAGCTACCGCATCGACACGGAACATTGGACTTTGATGTGCTTCTACGATCATCGTTGCAATCCGATACTAATGATAAACGTGTGCTTTCGACGGAGCTGAGCTGCGAAGACAGCATTGTGACAAACGAAATATCGTGCACATTGCAATTCTTGGAACAAATGAATGCTGCGAAGTCGTAGCACACGTCGCCCACGAGCACGTTGCAGCCTTGATTGCTTCTGTTCGTAAGCGACTCCTGAAGTATCCTAAGTATTCGCAACAGAGATTGTCGCCGTTCTTCAGTGATAGATAATGCATTGGAGGAAAACAGCTTTGGCTTGGGAAAATGATTCTTTACAACTGAATACAGCCATTTGCACTCGGCTGGACAATTGTGGCCTGGCTGCAGCTTTTGCAGTAGCTGCTTGCGAAAACGACGAAATGCGTCAAAGGAGTGACTGACAGTCCACACAATCGGATCGTCTTGACAGCGAGGTACAAATTTGGCATGAATTTCATATAGCACTTTAGTACCGTTCACTGCAGTCTGTAAATCAATCTGAAGATTATTAAGCCACGCGGTTGCGTCAGGAAGATCGATTGATAGTGCTCGCTTGCGATGGCGACCGGAAAATTTAATGATTGGTGTTGAAATGACATCCATGATGTTAGTGGTTGATGTCCGACTTGAAAGTTGCAAATTGAAAAATAAATGTCGGACGCATTGTGTGCTCAAAATTTATGAGGAGCGACATGAGGCACTATGTTGTACTAAAAATCCTTATTCGGGTCTGGTATTTATGATGGTATGAAAACTGCCATTATATCAACGGCAAATTCCATATTTTAGACATCACCACATCCTTCAATAACTAATGCTTTCAACTTAATTTCTTCTCGCTGTCGTCGAGCTCATTAAGGACTACTTATAGCTTCAAGCAATACATTCGCAAGCTCATGGACTGGGGTTTAAGGGTGCTATGTAAACGTGCGTACGTAAATCTAGGCTGCTAAAACTGTTTCGAATTCTGTGAGCATCTTGCTGCTTGAATAGCGAAAACGGTATCGAAAAATTGCCGACAAAGGGACTTAATCAGTATGTCGCTGTAAAACAAGAAGCTCGAAGAAGAGTCTTTGCAACGGCTAAATTTGGTCAAGGTGCACTATATTATATTTTCTCAGTGATTTAGACGTCGCATGGTCGCTGTTTGATAGGAATAGGCATAGCTGAGAAAATGCAGAGTTCTAGAAGCTTACAATATTTTCTAACCAGGCGGGCAATTTATCGACGAAAAGGTTTCCAGAAAATTCAATGATGTCTATGCGTAAAAATGTCAGACGGTTTGCTAATTCAAGCGTGGGTGTATGGCAAAGAAAATGTCTGACCAGAATTTTAGTCGCTTGCTTGTGCTGAATTTTTCTTGCTTCATATGGCATACACTACTCCTAGGGGAGTACAGAGAACCTTTTGGATTTAAGAGTGGATAATGGAACGATGCTTACTAGCTGGTAAACTTCTGTGGCCGCCATAAAGGTGTAAAGCATAAGGTTCGGCTGTCATTAGATGTTTCAAAACATCCTTTTGTAGATTTCATCTTGCTGCATACGTGTTTGAAAATTTTAAGTGCCGCTGCATCGACAACCGCAAAATGCTAAATCCAGATATTATCCATCATTTATTTTAAACAGTGTTCCGAAGAAGCTATAAGTCGACGAGGCTAACTAGCTCGTCGATCGGTCGGAATTCGCAGGAGCAACTTCTTTATTATTCAAGTCCAAACTTACAACCGTGAGAGAGATATGAAGCTCGAAGAATGGGAGAATATTTCAAATTAATTTTCAAAATAAGTAACTTTCTGCATCAGTGCGTTGTAGCTCTAGTAAACTACTTGATAGTCATCAGTGGGTGCAGCCGGTATCCCGAATAAAATCTAAGATTCATGCTGATCTCTCTGTGACAAGTCATTCGCTTGACAATGCTGTTTCTATCTTTTTGAACCATCCCACTGCGTCATGACGGACGACCAGAAAAATGTATCTATCTTGACCGAGAGGAGGAACATACGTAGCATGAAATTCGTAGTGCACTTTGTAACCTTTAAATCAGCAATCTGTAAGGAAATCTAAAAGTTTTCTTTGCAGTGGCGTTGAAAGATTGATTGACATTGCTTGCACGCGGTGGTCACCGGAGAAGTCAATCATTGGCGCTGTGATGACTTTCATAACTAGAAATACTGATCGACGTCCGACCTGAAATTTGCAAAATAGAAAAAAATTAAGAGTCGGTCGGATCTCTAAATTCTATTAAAGGAGTTCTGGTGCATACAAGAAACTCTACATTCTCGGATGTCTACAAGAAACTCTAAATTCTCGGATGTCTTTAAGCTTACGAGTGCCACCGCATGGCTTGATCAAGATTAATCTTGCATCGAGATAGCCTTCATTGTGCGTAATGAATAAATTACTGTAGACGCTCCTCGTCTCTGTCAGGATAAAGAGAGTAATTCAGAGTTTGTTTAGAGAGAAGATAACTGATGTCTCTAATTAGAATTGAAAAACGATCGCGCTCATGCTTCTGAAAAGTCAGAGGATTCTGACACAGACGCTGCCCCGCGACGCAGCTCAAGTAAGAGCTAACTTTATCCCCGATACTATTAAATAAAATAGAGCAGATTTGACATGGGTTGTTGATGTGACATAGCCAAATCCATCATTGCCCTGATAGATTTGACACATGGCCAACAAAGGGTACCGGGGATAACTCAGACACAGTCGTATATGCTGACTGCAGGCTGTGACATAAAAAAAGAAAACAGCATGTGATGAATTGTTCGATGTCCACATTCAAGTAAAATTACGTGCCAGGTAAGACTTGTTTTGCTCAATAACATTAAACGCCTGAAAATTCACCGGTAGTGGGCAGGCCGAACCCGCACGCCACACCAATTGACTCGACATGGTGTACCTACGAATATTCTCATAAATTTGTAATTGTTATGAAGATATATTTACCAGGTAGCACAGACAGAGAACTGTCGGTTCGTCAAATGAAGCTCTTCGATTGCTTCGGTCTCACCTTTGCTTCTGCTTACAAAATCACAGCTGTCTAATACTTGGCATGTTTGGTAAGAAGCGTTCTTTGAAAAGATTCTATTCTTACAGAATTACAGACGGCGTATCTCGCACCGATCAAAATTTAATTTCCTGACCATGCAAAACTGCTATCATCAACCAGTGTCAAATGTTGGTTTGCCTTTACAGCAATTGTTGGAGGTGCCACTGAATGCTGATGATGCTTTGAATCAAATATGTTAAGAGAGCAGCGAAAGCAGTTTCCAGCATTGTTCGAATTATTGCCGTGGATGGGAAAGACGAGGTCGGAATCTACTCACTTGTCGGTAAAGGCCTTATTGTTTTTGTTCGTTGGCAGCTCTAGATACTAGGTTTTAGACAAAAAGAACGCTTTCAGTGCCTCGAAAGCGACCACTTTTGCATAGTAATCAAATTATCTTGCTCTGGGCAGCATAGCGTTAGCTCAGCTTCGGATAGCTGGTACGACACGATGATACGATTCAATATGAAAAATCGTATCACGCATTTGTTACCTTAAATTTTTCTCAAGACGCTTAGTCTGTCAAGTAAATATGTTGACCGTTACCTCTCAACTACTTCAAAGTCTAATCTAAAGGCTTGAGCAGCGCATAGTTAAAAACTGCCGTTGCTTTGGTTAAAAAAACAGCTCATTTCGATGTACCAATCTCAACATCAATTTCCGGAGAGTGTCACTGCTAAAGAAGAGAAATAGCTCATGAAGGAAAACACGATTCCTTTCGACTGGAACATGTCTAGCTCAGCTTAAAAGTCTCGTTTTGATTTTTTTCAAGTCTAAGCTCAAATCATCCAACTTGCTGCAGTACTATCCCTGGCACGACTTTGCTGGTGTTTCGAATCGACCAAATGAGTCAGTTGCTTACCTTTTCGACTAATGGGACCAAAGTTTCTTAAGTGCAAAGGAAGTACGTAAATAAGTTGTTCGTTCGTCCCGGCAGATGATGTCGTTGTTGCATCGCCTCTACGGGACCACATCGCTTCTTCGACATGAAAATTTTAAAATGACCGATCCGATACTATCAATCGCTGCAATTTAATCTCATTTTTCGAGTGCCTGTTTCATTCCGCGAGTATAAGCCTGGCGTCTCTGTCCGACCAAGAATCGCACACCATTGCGGCAATGTTGTCCAAATGACACTGGCTTTCCTCGTAGTTTATGAAGTGGTAATTAGCCTTAAACATGATCCTCACTACGTCATTACAGGTTATCAAGCCCAATAACAACGACTACACTCGTATTTGTTGATGCCTTAAGGCTTCTTTGTCCCACAGCCAATCGGCCGTCAATCGCGAGGAAGCTTCATGCGGGACTTGGAGGTCAGAACCAAACTTACTTGTTGAAAGTCCCTACGACGCTGCTCAATAAATTCAGAAACTATCCTATCAAAATCGCATAAAGCTTCCTAGATTAATGCTTCAATGTCGTGTTTTGCATTAGTCGAGTATTATCGCATCAGAGACTCGCGACTAGCAGCTTACAGATTAGTCTGAATATTTCGTCACCGGTAAGACGTCGTCTATTCAATAAAACCTTCATTGTATCCGAGCAATGTCGACTTCTATAGCGCTCAAATTACTTGCCCTCATGCGTCCTGGCACGCGGAAAGTTTCAACGATAGAATAGATGAATCTCAAGTTGTATCTAACGAGACCTCTGAACCGTAAGAAATTGAGCTGACAACTTACCGAAGATAGAATTCTACGCATATAAGAGCTTAATCTTCTATTGCAAAGCGCTATGATCACATTATGAGGGAAACTAGTAGAAGCTTAGTTATAGACCAGCAGGACAACCAGTAGAAGCTTAGTTATAGACCAGCATAGGCATTGCGCCCCTTCTATAGTTATCAACGGCACCAAAGGCTAAAATATTTGAAGGAACGGAATTTTTATCTTTCGAGGTAGATCAATTCTGCTGTGGAACGTCCATGTAACTTGTACAAAGCATCGGGTGATGACCTGAGTACAATCCATGAGAAATTGATAATACACGAAACAGGTGACATCGATTCTGAACATAAGAGGCAAGTAGAATGGAAAAGCCAGACCATAAATTCCATTGTCGCAATGCACTTTCCAGTTTTCAACCAGTATAAAGCACAAATCTCCATGATTGCTACAAAGATAGTAAGTACCAGACTCAGACTTTGGCACATCGTTGAATTTATCAACAATGCGTGAGTCTGTTTTTATGACTGAATGTTCTCCGTATCTCGATCACATTTCTTGATCTCATCAGTAATGCTGTTCGTAACATAGAAGAACGAACACTCTTTTGTTAGTGAGAGACACTACTACACGTCTTTCCATCTCTGACATGCATAATCTCTACGTAAACCATGACACCTTGAAATAAAATTTTATGATCAAACTTAACAACGCTTACTGCGTCAAATCAAAAGCATAACGAGGACAATTAGATTTACGTCGACTCTGTTCTGTTGCTATTACTCTGCTCTCGCATTCCTTGGATTACACATAATACTGCACATGGTCCCGCCGTTCATTCGATAATAAAGCAATATCATTGTCTTCAACAAGTACCATGTGTGGCTTCGATTGTCTTGAACGTTTCTGTCGATATGATGGTCGGTCTTGACTACTTCGACGTATTGCCATCGACTTACGTGTTACATGACCAGATGTTGATAAATCATCCAATGCAAGCTCCAAATTTCGCAATTCAAAATGCAATTGCAAGGCTGATGGTCGATTGATTGGATCAGCATCTAAACACTTGGCCACAACATCTCGTACACTATTTGGACAATCGGAACTCAATGTTGGACGCAATTTCCCTGCACTTACCAACACTGCAATACGAGCATTTGTGTGTTTCACATTGCCACCTCGATTATCATCATTCAAAACACCTTCTGAATACGGTCGTCGACAAGTGTCGAGCTCCGTCATGATAACACCAAATGAATAGACGTCAGCTTTCTCAGAATATCGTTCTCCACGTAAAACTTCAGGAGCAATCCATGAGATTGTACCAATTTCAGCTGTCATGGTCTGATCTTCGACAAGTTCTCGACTGACACCAAAATCCGTCAATTTGGCTTCCCATTTTTCACTTAAAAGCACATTATTTGACTTAAGATCACGATGAATCATTGGGCTTTCAAATGAGTGCAAATAAACTAAAGCTTCGGCTACATCCAATGCAAGCAATGATTTACATTGAAAACCACCTCGTTCAGACATTTTTGAACGAAACCAACCGAATGCGTCACGAGCCAGTGGATCACGCGACTCCCGTTTTAATTGCTTATGAAGAAGTGTAGCAAGATCTCCATTCGGCATATATTCAAACACAGCAGATAAATCCACGAGTGTGCTAAAAGTAAAGCCAAGAAATGTCACAATCTTTGGATGATCTAAAGATGCACATGTTCGAATTTCATCCATAAAATTATTGAGCATTTTGGGATCACGAACACGTTCTGGTAGCAATTGTTTGATCACGACAATCGTATCACGAAATGTAGCCTCGTACACTGCACCATAACCACCTTTGGCAATCAATTTGCCACGAATCACTTCTTCATGTAACAATCGAAAGTGACGCATGTCTTGATCATTGCGAATGTCGTTGTCAACATGTGCCAACGAAAGTGGTTCTACTGACTGAGTAGACGAAGCCAATGTGTTGCTCATGCCTCTACGTTTATTACCAACAAGTGTATCGTCATATTCATGTTGTTCCTCAGCTGCCACGTTTCCAGTAGTTAACGTCCACTCAAAGAATGTACGATTTGAACTCGGAAGTGTCGTTGTGCGCGCTTCTGGAACGGATCGAAAGTCCGACCGACTTTCTGATGCATAGTTCTTAAATCGGCTATTGAGTCGACGATGTCGAAAGACGAGATACCCCACTGCCCCACCAATAACTACTAGCAATAGAGCAGCACCCGCAATCATTGCTACAAGCATCCAATTCGAAGATGCCGCTAACTCATGAGATGGCGGTAAAGCTTCTTTTGATGGCAAACCATTAGCGTCACCTGTGATCATGTACTTGGTATTGTATAGTGTGTCAGGCAAGACACAAACATTCACCGATTTGATTGAATGCATTGAAGCATTTCCATCACGACAATTTGAATCAGCAACGGTGAGTTTAAACCACCCAAGTCCATAGACAAGTGGCATGCTAGATTCTGCAATTTCATACGAATCAACTGTACTCCCTTCAAGATTCAAATATGTTAAAGAACCTGAAGATGGTAACGATACGCCTGAAAGTTTCTCCACACCACAATCAACACATGAAAAAGCTTGTAATTTTGATGGCATACGCCATTTGGACAAGTCGTGAATGGGATTTTCACTTGTATCAAGTCCATTAAGAGAATCACTTAATGTTAATGCCGTAGGAAAAAAAATGCCGTTGTTTTTTATAGATAAAGTCGTGACAGAATCTGGAATTTCACCACGATCAAGTGATTGAATGGAATTATTGTCTAATACCCTAAAAAAGAGCATTAGATTGATTTCGACCATAGAAAGAATTAAACGTACAGCCTCGTGACACTAGGTGGAATAGATAACGCATCCAATGCGCTAAGTCCATTAGCTGACAAATCTCTAGAATTAAATAACAATGTCAAGAAGAGTATGAAATGAAAAGCTCAAACTTTCATCTAACGTACAAATTCTTAACTGTAGCCTCCTTGTCTTCATATATTGTCGTGACTTGATTTCCTGATAATACAATCGTCGAGACAGCTGGAAAACTCGAGATTGCTGCAATACCCAAATAACTAGCATCGATCATTGTAGTTCCATTGCTTGATATCGAAGTTATTCGAACTACTGTACAATTCTCATAAACCACTTCGGCATTCGACAAAATGTCGTCACTGCGTCGCAACGTTGCAAGCATTGGTGCTGGTCGATCACATGCATTTGCGTGGACTTCTTGACCACTTGTTCGTTGGATTAGTATGTCAACTACCCAAAGTACGACAAGTGCCGTGGATCCATCTTGAGACTGAAGCGATCGCCGCATTCCGATGGGTTACTCCTTTTTGGGACACTTGATGAGAACACGTTTGAATACAAATAAGAAGAAATTGAGCGTTTAGTCTTTTAGGGATTTTGGTAACCCCGTTCACTTCCCATCCAATACTTTGCTCCCCGGTAGAGTTGCGTAATAAATTATTGTCACATCGGACAGGAACAAGAGGAAAAGTATCGGTATACCGATGAAAGCCATCCGTCACGTTTTTTATAAGCAGCTGTCATGGAGTTGTGTGGCTCTCCTTATTAATATAATATTAGACAGGTTATGGAAATCAAGAGAGTAGTGGTAAAGGCTTTGGACCCTTCGATAGTGGCTAAATCTTGTGGCAAGAAGGTTCATAGAATTTAATTAAATAACGCATTACAAATCCAAGCTCATCACACTGAATCGCAGCTACCTTACGCCTATCCGACTTGAATGACGCTGTGATCGACGTCGTGCAGATGCTAGTCGTTCATTCTCAAGCTCCAAATTTCGTAGCTCGTAATGGATTTGCAGCGCTGACGGTCGATCGTCAGGATCAAATGCTAAGCATTTATTTACCAAGTTACGTACACTTCGAGGACAATCATTGTGCACAGACGGTCGTAATGTGCCAGCGCTTACCAATACTGCAATTCGAGTATTTGATGTCTTGTTATCTGTGCCATGATTACTTTCGCCTGGTATTCCATCTGCATAAGGCCGACGACACGTATCTAATTCAGTTAATATCACACCAAACGAGTATACATCCGCTTTCTCTGAATATTGTTCACCTCGTAATACTTCTGGTGCAATCCACGAGACTGTACCAATCTCAGCCGTCATAGTCTGATCTTCATCCAATTCTCGACTTATACCAAAGTCGGTAAGTTTTGCTTCCCATGTCTCACTTAATAGTACGTTTCTCGGTTTCAAATCACGATGAATGATTGGACTTTCGAAGGAATGTAAATAGACCAACGCTTCAGCAATATCAAGTGCTAAAAGAGTTTTAGTTTTCACAGGTTGTCTAGAATAAAACCATCCATACTGCGTTCGCGCAACTTCATCACAACTTTCTCGTTCGTATTGTTCTTGCAACATAGTGCTTAAGTCACCATGGAGCATATGTTCCATCACAAGACTAATATCCAGCAACGAACTCCACGTGACACCAATAAAACGTACAATCTTGGGATGAATTAATGTTGAGTAGAGACGAATTTCATCCAAAAAGGCACTTAGACAATGTTTGTCACGTGCACGTTCAGGTAATAATTGTTTGGTTACCACAGTTTCATTCTGAAATGTAGCCAGGTACACAGCTCCGTACCCTCCTTTTGCAAGTAATTTACCCCGTACAACTTCTTCTTGTAGCAATCGATGCTGTAAAATATCATCATCGGTACGAATATCATTGAAAACAAAAGTAGCGGCAGATCTACTAAGTGTCATATCAGGAATTGAATCAGTGCGACCTGTGCGTGAAAATTCAGTTGAACGACTTCGTAAATATTTCGGCACTTTAAACGATGATGAAGTGTCAGGGTCAAATTCCAGAGTTTCAGCTTCCTTAAGTTCAACATCTCGATCTTTATTTCGTCGTCGAAAAATGACAAAGACGACACCTCCAACAATGCACACCAACATTGCTGCTAAACAAGTCATTGCCAACATCATCCAGTTGCTAAAGTAGCCGCCATGACCACTACTTTCTGCCCCTGTTGCCATATTGCCAGTACTTTTCGATACTTCCGAGTCCTCAGAATCGACGACAAAGAACTTGTCGCTGAAATATGAATCGGGAAGCACACAAAGGTGCATCGAACGAGCAACAACTCGTGAAGCACGAGAATCAGTGCAATTGTGTCCAACTGTCGTAACTGTTAGGTCTCGGACAGCGTTAAGAATCGAAACACTACAGTTGGCAACTTCAAAAATTTCGAGATTGCTACCTCGAAGGTCAAATGTCGAGAGAGAAGTGACGGATGGGAATGAGACCCCAGCAACAACTTTGATACCACAGTTTTGACATCGAAATGTCTGCAACTTGGATGGCATATCCCAGCTAAAGAGCTTAAAAATTGTGTTGTTACTGATGTCAATAATCTGCATATTATCGCCCAAGCAGAAACTTTGCAATGACATGAGACTGTTGTTTCGCACTGAAAGTGACGTCACAGTGTTCGGAATATCGCCATCTAATAAAGCTGCAAGGTAGTTGCCATCTAAATTTCTAAACATTACAAAGACCGGAAATTTCAGCTTCATGACAATTGTGCGATCAATAGCTAGCAAATACTTACAAGACAGTAACACTATTGGGTATTGAAATCTTGTCCATGGTCGTGATTCCATTATTTGAGAGATCCCTATACAAAATCGTCAGCCCATTTCACAAGCAAGCTCTTTGTCATCTGCTTACAGTGTCGAAACCGATGTATTGCTCACTTGATCAATTTCTCTAATCTTATTGCCTGAGAGATTTCTACATACAAGAGTTCGTCATATCTTCCACTCGATTTTCACATGCCTTAAAAGTACTTACAATGAGTCGACTGAAGGGAAAGTTTTGATAACCTCAACCTTCTGTCCTGATACATCCATCGACGTCGTACCGTCGTCTAAAGTATCAGCTCGAACAGTTAAGATAGCACAGTCTTGATATATGACATAGGCTGCACTAGATGACGACTTGCTCTGCATCAATGTAATTTGCGTCGGTGGAGATGCAAGACATTCCTGACGTTGGGTCTTAAGTGCCGCTAAAGCAACAGGATCATTCTCACTACCTTCCATAGTATCCGACACGACAGCAACGACAAAAGCCGAGAAGTGAATCGCCGCTAGCAAGATGATCAAACCATTGTCTGACCTCCTTCTCGTCATGAGAGTCGATCTCGACCAATTCGTTACGTATTTTCGACGTCAACCTGTTTATTGGATGAAACAATCGCTAGCCCCACCGTTTCGTCCGTCCTTCGTTCGCCTTCACGTTTCTCGATGAGGCGAGAATTAGGCGAAAGTCGCTTTGGGGCTTGAACCACACAATTCCGAATTCCAACCTGTAGAGAGGCAGCAAGCCACGTCGGTTGTAACAGCTGGGATTTTCAAATTTGATGGAAAACGTGCAAGAGACAACACTCTCCCATCTGAACGGCTAATGTCATTCTATGTCTGACCTCCTCACAAACACACTTCGAAACTGGCCGGATGTTTCATGAAAGTTGAAACTGGAAAGACCAATCAAGTAGCGTGGATTCACCGTCACAATGAACTGGATCTCTAGACGTTGACAATCAAAGTAGCATAAAACTCATCTTGGACCAGGTGAGAGGCTTGTTGGATGGATGGGAAAAGTTGACATGATCGACTTGGTCGTTTAGCCGACTATCCGACGTTGTTTTCTTGGCATATATTATATGAAAAATACCTCAATCGACAAATTTCCAAGTGTAAACTTGAGTTTTTGAATTTAGCAGTAGAATTAACCCACAATTTACTGTTTACTTAGCCAATTAGATCATCAATTTTGTTTTCTAATGTTTATTAAAAATTGTGCGGTAAAGCTGGATTCTACAACCCGGAGACGACATCTGATCAGACAGGATCTATAGCTACGTGGGTTGAGGCAACATGAGATTACAGAGATACTGTAGTATAATGAACGAATCAAAATAAAAGAAAACTTAAATAGAATATGCACATCACTCACTCATCAGTAGTTTGTCTACTTCCCGCTTGTCTGATGCCGGTATACATATATATTCTTTCAAGCATCGAAGTTGTGTGTCAATTTTAGAAGAATAGTGTATTCTCTATAGTAAGCATTGTGACTGTAAGGAATCAACTGACATTTTAAAGCAAAAACTTGATTGCAATTTCCTACGACAAATTCTAGCTAGATCAGAAAACTAATGTCTTCAAATATAGCCCCATTTTCTCTCTCTTCATGCGAATTTGGTATCCATATCCAATCAATCTGAGATGTCTTCTCTTTCAGATGATATTGTAGGCGCACAATGTATTCGCTCGCCCATCGAGAATAAAAATCAGAGTTTTTAAGAACCGGCAAAGGTACCTTTGCATATTAAATTTTTCTAAGCTTTTAGCTGAAGAAAATGGTCTACAACTAGTAGAAATCACTTATAATGGCTTTGCTTTTGCCTTATTGGGCAAAGACCAAGAGTTAAGGACCTCGAATCAATGAAATTTAGGAGTTTAAATGTGATTTACAAGATCAAACAATGATTTAAAGAAGCATCCCACACATCTCGTAATCTAACAATTTCTTCAACTGATCGTGAAGAAGAAACTATTTCACTCGATGATGTTAAAGATCGTACTAATAATCCACCAATTGGTGGCATACCTATAGAACTTAATGCCATTTGGCTCCGAACATAACTCAAAGAATAGGGGACCGAAGTGCGTGCGAGCATACATGAGCTTTCGAGGAATGAAGCTCGCTGCCTCGAAGGCTTTCTATCACGAGATGATATCTGCTCAAAGATCTTTCTTATATCTAAGCCGAAGGTCGAGGAAGCCTCTCCATGACATAATGCTTGACAAGTAGCAAATCTCTTACGCTCTGGCATTTGCTACAGCAAAGACGGCTTTTCCACACGCACAATATTCTGAGTCCTTAAACAGTAACTTTATTGACGATAGGCATTGTGCTCATGCGTACCCCATCTTTGTTCACTTGGTGGATCAGTACTCCCTGTAGCGTCTCATAAGAAATTTTTCACCACATGACACTAATAAAGTTGATGTGCACTTTGCAATTACGTGCCGAATATCTTTCAATTTAATTAGCCATCGCTTTAAGAAGAGCAACGATGTGAGAGAATACCTTTGACTCTCTCGACCGATTATATGTTCTCCTTGCATTAAAGTCCGCGTATTTGGTCAGTGCGATATCTGAATCAGTAATGTTTACCTCATTGGCACAGCATCGAAGTTCAAGCTACGATGTCCTGACTGCTGATAAGCGCTTATGAAACGCGTGGGTATATGGTGACTACCTTAAACTTGAAATGTGGTGAACAAAACCCATACCACTTTTTGTCTATTATTCCACGGCTCGCGTGATTATGATGACTTCGAAATACCATCACTTCGTTCATATATGGCAGAAACGTATATCATGGATAATATGCTTCAAAGCGGCGTATCAAGTTTCGTGAAACGGAATAGTAGCCTCCTTGCAATCGCTGTCATTGAGGCATAAAGGTGCTAACCCCATTGTGCACACTACGTGTGAGCGAAATTAGCAATTCTACGAAACACTTTGATACTCGCCAAGTCCGACGCGGTAAGTAGAATTTACGATAGGACCAGGTGTAGCATTTTCAAAGCTGGCTGAATGGCCAGTTTCGAGAGTTTGACAATTTTCGCGCTTATTTTAATTTCGTTGGTCTACTCAGTCAGCGTCTTTGCGTCCTTCCCCATAGTCACTTTCTGCTGATTTTTCTGTAGGTTATTTGAGGATTCTCAAATAATGAAGTCCACAGCTAAATGTCAATAGAATATTCTGAAAATGCTAACTCACATTGGAAATAGCACAGTAGCCAAGGCGCGACCGTGAATAGTGACAAGTACTCCAACTAAAAACGATCAGCTTGCTGATGTGTAACAATCACATAGCAGAGTGAGCATTGATAGTTGCCAAGCTTATCCTGAAGCATTATCTTTTTGACAGGGTATCGTACATCCAAGTCAGTCGAATAGAAGAACCGTCCAAAAAAACGCGATTGCTGTTAGCCTCGGTGTAACGAGGAAAACTTTATTATGGTAACCGCACACAATAAACTTGCAGCGGGGTTGTCGTTGCTCTTTGCTTATATAAAGCTTACTAAGGTCATCGACCTTACGTTTTATACCACAACCAGTACGAGTGTAGCGGGTCGCAAATCGCTACCTCCGAGAAAACTTAACCGATGCAAATACACTCTTCCGTTTCAAATTAAAGCTGTATTTAATTGTTTTATTTGCGGCACAGCCGTCTATATCTAAAACCTTAGGTTTTACTAACTAATATGGTATTCCCTAGCTTGCATTGTTACGGTGTAACCACACCATTGCGTAATTACACCGACTTGTGTAATCTACACTTTTGCACGGTCACACCATCTTGTGTGACCCACCCTTTCATACCAGGGTACGTGTACCCCGTTACAACACTATTGTCCCTCGGGTACAATGAGCGACCAATGCGAAGTACCATGATTTGGGATGAGGGTGATAGAACTCAGAAAAGAAGCTCTACGGATTTGTCGTGCGCTTTGCGCAGAGAAACACTTAACTTGAGAGTGCGCGCTAGCAAGCGAACAAACGTTGGCTTGCTATATATATATACGCTGTACTATTTATTTTGATTCAAGTGTCTATGTAAAGGCCAAATAAATCAGTGTGGCTCTTGCGCTTGCAAAAGATTCAAGTGAGCTTCCTGGGCCAGATTTAGCCCATTACGCGTAGCTAAATATCGTTGCGAGCTTCGTGGTGAAGTGTCGCAACACAATCTGCGTAACGCAACTGAGTACGTTAGTTGACCGGTGAAGAGGCGAAGAGCATAGAACATCTTCTCTTTAACAAATGATTTGTACATATGTCTTCAGGCAATCATGTTGGGCCAAGACTCGGATAGTCGCTGCAATCGCTCTCATGGGAAAATGCCTCGCCTCCGTACAAAATTTTGCCTTGAGGTGCAAAACTTGCAGAGCTTCACTGGGCAATGTGATGGTGTATATAATCGAGGAATCTTTACTTTAAAAGATGCGTGTATGAGCAGGCACAGAACGGTTTGTACGCTGAGTGGATGTTAGTTAATCCAATGTTTCTTGAAGACGAAAGAATGTGAACTTGAGTAAATCTTACATCTTAGTGGGAAGGTGAATAGGGTCTGTAGCTTACTGTTGTGTACGTACACCTTGTACTTCTAGGCAATTGTGCAAAAAATATTATAATGTACGAGATCTACCGCACACGGTTGTGTACATGTAAATAATCCGCTGAACAAAAGTATCGCTTCTATCGAAAACAATTTCGTAAGGGAGGGCTTCATGGTACTTGTGGGTTTTTAGCCTCACGTCAAGCGATATATTCATTCCTCTTAGTAGATTAAACTAAGTCATTGTGTAACTTTACGCGCTCTCGCTTCCGCGTCTGGGTGAAGCGTATATAACCAACCATTGTGCGCTGTATACGTAGACCCTTTAAGTCAGCGCTTCTTTTGTGCAGTGTGTACGGCAATCCCTTTGCACACCGCCACTGAGATGACGATCCAAATTTTTATAGTAAATTATAGACCCTTTTATCATATCGGCACACACTACACTATCGTTCTGTAATAGACTCGACGCGGCTCGGGTCTTTGTTCTCAGGTGAGGTCAGAGGTGATAAGTCATGACTCGGAGTGTATGGGGGTAATTACTGTAATCTTTTTTTTAATTTACACAATTTGTGCATTTGTCTCAGAATAAAATACTTTGATTCAGTCCGAAACTCGCATTGCTTTTTGGTGCTACTGTGTAGAGTTGATGGGACCGAGGTATCTATACTCATACTCATGAAGATGATTGGTCGCTTGAAAGGACGTCGTGGTACAAGCGTCACGTCAAATAAAATACTTTAGTTACTGGAGATTGTTAGTTACGAGTAACGTTAAATGCGGACACTTAAATCTCCTCTGCAAAGTGCACGGCAACCCCGTTCCATTTGGCGATGTCTGCTGTTTATTTCACGACCGAGTCTTAAAAAACTGTATATATCCTCTGCGAAGGTGGAAAATGTTTAAGGGCATGTCCATGAGAGCTGAAATAAAAAAGCTCATGGTTTTGGTTGGCCCCAACAAGATCGAGGGAACTAACGGCCTGGGGACCAAATACAGAAGTTGCTTGCTGGGTAGCGTTTGATTGCTGTAGAAGCGCCCTTTGGTGACACCATCAGTATCGCACAAACGAATGCTCACGAAAGAATATATTTGATTCATCGTGAGGCTGCGAGTGTTGAGGGTTCAGTCGCTTGAGGAGGGATGGAGAGAGTCTCTCTATCTGGATGAGAATAGCTGAAATGACAATTTGGATGTTAATGCTCCAAATGGAGCGACTGCGTGCCACGCTTACGATCTCCAAGCTAGGTAGGTCGCGTGCGTTGGCCCTAACGGGCAATACCTCGGGCGTAATGGAGGCATTCGTGACGAGGAAAGAGGGAAGCTAAAATGTGTTGTGAATGCTCAAAACACCTAACTAAACGCGACTAATGCGCTTGAATATATTGTTCAGCCGTCGAGAACTGGTAGAGTATGTGCAGCGGGAAGAAACCTCATCACCGCAACTGCATCAGACTCTTTCGGAAGCTACAATGTTCCTATATTCATGAAGTGTAGCGGGGCTGCCGAAGCTCTTTGCCTAGAGAAAGCTAAGCTAACGTCACCGACCTTACTTTCTTTACACGAACCAATATGAGTGTAGTCCGCTTCCTATAAGTACTTAAAGCCTTAACCAAGCTAAAGTTGCTCTTTTATTCAAAACTTAAAGTGTATTCAATTGTTTTAGTTGCGGCAGACCCGCCAATATCTAAAATCTGAAGTTTTTCTGATTGTTATTAATACAAAAATATCTAATTAATATAGTAAAAACTGATTGATGTGCATTACTACTGGCAATCCTGCCACATAGTGGCTTTTTGTTACGGTGTATCAACGTCATTGTGCAACTACACCAACTTGTGTAATCCACACCTATGTACGGTCACACCATCTTGTGTAACTCGCCTTTTCATACAAGGGAACGTGCAACCCCGTTACATGGAGGGCCTTCAAACGGACGCAAATGGCACTGTGCCCTCCCGCGTCCACCCTACATGGGCGTCACGTTCAATGCGGAGTACAATAACTGTATCACAAGATCCAGATGGGGATATTGTAAGGTAAAGCTCTCTGAGCTCGTCAAAGGCGATTTTAGTGACGAGCGCGCCAGACTGATGAACCTAGCTATGGTACAAAGGGCGGAAGAGACTTCGAGAGTGACATTTTAGCTGTCAATTTGGCGGAACTATAAAATATTTAATATACAGTTGTACATAGCATCTGCGCCATGTGCACCCGCCTGAAAGGTACAAAAGGTTGAGCTCCCACTAAAAGCCGACCGACAAACTCCATGGGGCAAATGTCGAGTGTCAGAAGGCGCAAGACAGCTGATTGAGGTAAAATTAGTTTTTTTAATATCGAAGAGGTCAGGGTCAATGGTTTTTAACTCTAAATATCAATTTTCCTCAAGAGGATGGAGATTACATTCTAAAAAATTGCTGGGTGCTGACCCTTTAGTTCTGGATTTTGTGGAGCTGTTAAAAATCCTGACGGTTTCAGCAGCGTCGTTCAATCATGTGTGACGCGCAACTACCAATAACAGCAAACAATACGCTAGGAAATAAAAAAAATCAACAACGGTTACGATAATCGTGCTTCTTGCGAGAGATGCACTGGTCAAAGTGCGAAGGTGATGTTCAGCCTTGAGTGCATTTTGAGAATTTTCTTAGCCAGAAACGTTGTCTATTCCTGGATTAGGCTCTAGATACGATATCAACTTGGCTATGGAGTGTCACGAATGCCACAAACCATGAATCGACTGGAAGGTAGAAAAACTGGTGCCACGCACTACTTCACATCGGATAGAAAGTGGGAACGCTTTTGACGCAGGTATGAAGCTGTCGTGTTTTGTACGGGTAAGAGATAGACCGAGATCGATAGCAATTGTTTTGCTGGATCCCTTGACCAGAGCTGTTAAGGAAGTGGCTGCAGGTGGCCATTATCTCGGGACAAAACAAAATCACCGAGTATGTAATGCGGTCTCCAGAGTCTTTTCGGGTGGGGTGTAAACATCAGTTGCGTGCTATTTTC